TGACAGCTCACAGCAACCTCAAACTCTTAGGCTTATGCGATTCTCTTGCCTTAGCCTCCCAAGTAGCTGGGACTACAGGTGCCCACCACAATGCCCGCCCCTCCCAAATGCACAAAAAATCCCACTATATTTTTTGTTATTGTTGTCATTGTTGTTTTAGCAGGCTCTGGCTGGGTTTGAACCCATCAGCCCCAGTGCATGTGGCCGGGGCCCTAACCACTGAACTATAGGTACCAAGCCCATCTGTCTATTCATGACCCACATCCTCTACCTTAAGCAACCTTCTGCTCCTGTGGGTAACAGGATATGCTGGCTGGTGACACTGGGATACAAGGATAAAAATTACAAAGAAACACTTAACCTGTGACTTGATCAACCAGGATTCGTGAGGTGATGATACGGCCATATTGCGAGAAAAGCTGCTCCAGTTCCTTCTGGGTCATGGTTTTGGGGAGGCCGCTAACATACAGGTTAGCATCCCTGATTGAGGCAGAGCTTGGACGGGCATAGGAGACCTAGGAAAAGGCAAGAGGAACTAAATCCATTATAGGTAATCCCCCTCAGAGTGGAAACTGAGTCAACAAGCACGACGACAGCCCCTCATTCACAGTTACAACTCGCTGTGTCAGTTTAAATCACTCAGTAGTTCAGATTTTTAGTTACTTTTATAATAGTAATGAGAACCAGGAGAACAGCAATAGAGGAACTAGGGGAGAGTTGAATCTGATAACTTAAAACAAATGCACAGATAAGGGTCTCTAAGTGCAGAACAAAATAGCTACTGTATGGCAGCTGTTAAATGCAGAGCTGCCCACGCACGGAGTTCTGAAGATTTACCTCCTAGATGTGGGTGTATAGATGATTTACTGTATCCAACACATAATAATCTTCGAATAAACCGAAAAAAAAAAAAAAACCCATGAAATTCTGCTCTGCACATTTCTTTCCTCGCCACTCTCCCTACCCCCATTCCCTTCTTGAATACATAAAAGCCATCAGGTTCTCTGCAAGATTTTTTACGTCCCATCCTTTGTGTTGCTCCAATCTGTTCCCCTGAGGTCTGCTCTCGCTGAATGACAAAGTGCTGGTGAAAGAGGGCTGAATGAACATCTGCTTACGAAACTGGATATGTGACCTTGTTGTCACATCTGCAAGGACCCGTGGCCTCTAACTTTGAGGGAGGACAGATAAAACCACAACAAACAAAATGGGGGCACGGGCAGAAAGGAGGGAGGAAAGGGCAGTGGGAGACAGAAGAGAGCCTCACTGATGGTTATAATAAGTTCGACTTTGTAAATTTGTCCTCCCAGATCTCTCAACTGCTCCCCCCCCCCCAAAAAAAAGCTAACACAGAAGTGTAAACAGATCTGAAATTCCATCTGCAGGAAGCCAAATCTGTAGCAGTACACATAAGCAAAGCAAACCCCAGCAGTCATTAATTTTAGACTTTCATTTACTTATTTATTTATTTTTTTAAGAAAACAACATCAGACATTTGAAATATAATTTACAGCTAGTCTAACAAAAGCACTTTCCTGTTAAAGCTATTTCTGGGGTGGTTATGGCTCAGAATAGATGATGAAAACAGTCATTTCAGAGCACATCTGACAACATTGGACAGGAAGGGACCTATAATGCCTGAGCATTTTTCAGTTGGAAATTTTATTTATTCCATATAACCAATTCACAGGACCTGTTAAGACCGCAGGGGTGACAGTATGTGTGTGCATGTGTGTGCATGTGCACAAAACCACATGTGCAGAAGAACTGCAGGTGTTAATCTGCACCTTTGACATTGAGAACTAACCCTCCAGTATCAAAGTGGACCTTGCTTCTGAGACCTTCAGGGGAGAGACGGGGTCTAGCAAAGAAGATGAAATATCTCTCCCTTTCCAAGGCAGAGATGCCAGGTCCCTTTATGGGTCCCAAACCTAAAAATAGATGTTGACTCAAGAGATAAAACGATGTGAGTGACTAATCTGTCTCTCTGGCCTCCTCCTGCTGTTGGAATGAGGCAGCCGCCTGCAGTTTCTCCTAGAAACTCATGGGTGACCTGGGAGGCACCTTCTCAGAGTATGATTGAGAAGGAGAGATGTCTTTACATGAAGGGTTACTGTGTGAGCATTTGGGGTGTGGGACTGAAGGGCCAAGAACCCCACGTGACTGCCCAGACGGGGCTTCACTTCTCCTACTCTGTCTTTAAGGGACAGAAGCTTTCACTTTACAACCTAACAGAACTATTTTTTCAGGCAGGAGGAAGGAGTGCTAGGGCGAAGGAAATGAACACATCCTAGTGACGTGCCCATGGTAATGAGGGTCACCTTTGTCTCACCCTGCCAATTACTGACAAATTAATTACCTGAATGACATCTGTGCTCCCCCAAAAGACAACCTCTCGCCTCTGTGCCTTTGCTCAGGGGCAGTTTTTTCTACCTACTTCCACAAGTTCAAATTCTACTCCTCTTCAGGGCTCAACTCAAATGACATCTTCTCTAGACAGCGTTCTCTGATCTTGCCTCCTCCTACAAGTCTCCCTAACAGCGCTCTCAATGAACTACCATATTCACCCATTCTGACCTTAAGACACGGGGCCATGGGTTGTGTGTGTGGAGGTGTGTCTCATTTATCTCTGTGGCTCTAGCCCTCAGCATAGAGCCTCATACTTGTAGAGTGCTCAACATTTACGAACAGCCACAGCTCCTGATGAATGATGCTGGCATTACCGGCTCTTTTGGGTGAACTGCTGCCTTGTTCCCCAACTATCACTAAGAGTCAAGCACCCAGAATCCCACCCGTATTTCCCCACCAAGCTAAGAGCTGAGGAACAGATTTCCTATTCTCCAGTGTTTGGGGTTGGAAGATCTGAAAGAAGATTGTTCTACGTCTATACATCACTTAGAGACTTTCTCTTCAGTAAACATTTCCTGAGGCTCTACTATGAGCCAGGCACAGGGCTGTGTTGCTGGGAATGCAGTAAGAACAGGGGCTAGTCTCTTGCTCTAAAGCAGTGGTTCTCAATCTTCCTAATGCCACGGCCCTTTAATACAGTTCCTGTGGGTTGCGACCCACAGGTTGAGAACTGCTGCTCTAAAGGAACTCCAGGTCCAAACGGGGCAAATGACAGCACACAGGGGGTACTTGATAAATACGAATTGAATAGCAGAATGGAGGAGCAAACATACAGATTGATTATCACAATGCCACAAGATGTGCACTATGCGAGGGCTATGTATAGAGTGTGGCTGAAATGCAGAGAGGGAGAGACTAATCCAAGGTCAAAAGGACCAGAAAGGAGACGGAGCTGAGGTTAGACTGATGGTGAGACAGGTGATGGTGAGGTCAGGAAATGGCAGCCTGATAACAGCCTTCGTCTGTGGTGAGGACAGACGAGGTGATGAAGGCCAAGGGCTTAGCGCAGTGCCTGCCATGTGATGCATACACAATGGACAGCAATGACCTTGGTTCTCATTAGTTCTGGGCAGCCAGAGTTGGGGTACAGAGGGAGCAGGCTGGAGACAGACTCCCCTCGGAAACAGGAGCTATATCGAAAAAGTCAACAACACAAACAAAACCATTTCCCCAAAGATGATTCTGACAATCTCATCTGGAAGGAATTACTGTGAGAGATTCCCAGAGATGACCTGAAATCCCAAAGGTGAGTGGCACCTTGATCGAACTCATTCCTGCTTAACTTTTCTCCTCCGTTTGGAAACTTACATCTACTGTTCTCCTAGTCCCCTGTCCATGAAACCTTCAGGATTTGGAGAGGACAAAAATGACAGAAAAAGAATCTTTCCACATTCAATATACAAATGCTTATCTGAGTATCTAAAAATTTCAAGTTACCTCATTTATTTATTAGAGTCTAACGGAACAACTACAGGTGTCAGGCCCTTGGTTAGGCTGAAACATGTCTAAAAAACTGTGGAGGGTCAGGCATTGCTAGCATATTAACCCCCTGAGCCTAGAGTCCAGGGCTTCCAACGCGGAGCCAGCACCTTACAGAGCCCCCTGGCCTCAGATGGTCAGGCTCTTCCTCACTTCATTCATCCAGAATTTCTGAACACAGGACTGGCATTGCTAAGCCAGCACAGACCTCAGAAAGAGCTGAGAGTGAAAAGGCCATTCCTCTCTCTGGGTTAGGGTGGCCCAAAGGTGAGTGACCATCAACAGCTCATTTTACAGATGATTTCCACAGAAGATCTGACGTCTCTCCAAACTCCCCATCCTAGCTGCATACAGTCCCCCAACCCTCTGTAAGAATGACGCTTACCACCCATCACCCTTATCATTCCTGACTGTGGCTCAGCTCTAGTACTCACTTAGCTGTGTGACCCTGGGCAAGTAATTTGATCTTGATGATTCTCTTTTGATGGGTTTATTATAAAGTACTGAGAGAATATATTTAATGTGTCTAACATATCCCTAGAACTTGGTAGATACCTGTTTGTTTGTTTTTGAGACAGAGTCTTACTTATGTCACCCTTGGTAGAGTGCGGTGGCGACACAGCTCATAGCAACTTCAAACTCTTGGGCTTAAGTGATTCTCTTGCCTCAGTCTCTCAAGTAGCTGGGACTACAGGTGCCCACCACAATGCCTGGCTATTTTTTGGTTGCAGTTGTCATTGTTGTTTAGCAGGCCCTGGCTGGGCTCTAACCCACCTGCCCCAGTGCATGTGGCCGGTGCCCTAACCACTGAGCTATGAGTGCTGTGCCATGGTAGAAACCTGTTAAATATTATAACATGAATTAAGCAGGCTTTTGTGGGCCAGCCTGGGAATCTGGGCCCCATTGGGGCATACCCTCCAGTTTTACCAAACAAGCAAACAGATGGAACACTGCCAGTGAATGCCTGTAGAGACAGTGTCCTCCTCTACTCCATGATGGGGTCTGGCAGGTGGAACCCTGGCAGTGAATGCCTGTAGAGATGGTGTCCTCCTCTACTCCATGATGGGGTCTGGCAGGTGGAACCCTGGAAGTGAATGACTATAGAGACGGTGTCCTCCTCTGCTCCATGATGGGGTCTGGCAGGTGGAACACTGGCAGTGAATGCTATAGAGACGGTGTCCTCCTTTGCTCCCATGATGGGGTCTGGGCCATCTTTTACTACTTCATTGCCACAAATTTCCTCTAACACCTTCTCACAGATCCCACTACTTCATGTCCACAAAGTACTTTCTATTTTCCAAAGTGACTTCCTAATACTACTCAGTGATTCTCACCAAGGTGAGTAAGGCAGGCATTGTACCCATCACTGAAGGGCCGGCAGGATCAGGGCTGGGGGCTGCCTCTTCCCACATGGCAACCCACCACTCCCCATACCTGTTCACAGCCAGGATGTGACCCAGGCAGAGTGGGAGGAACAGCATGACCTGGGGAGCAGTTTCTTGAATCATCTAGCAATACCTCCCCTCTCATCTGACCCTCCATAAAATGGAAAAGGCATGACCTCGGGGAAAACGAGAGGAAAAGGCATCCTTCCCCGCCCTGGACAGGGGCTCCTTGAGGGAAAGGC